GTTCACTGGGGGCGTCCAGGAGCTTAGAGACAAACTGTGTACTTATGACACAGTGAGGACAGTCTAGGGAGCAGGGTATCAGGAATCTGGTCCAGCGCTGCCAATGGTTTGCTATGTGCTCTGAGACTGGTTTATCTCTCTCTGGGACCTCAACTCTACCATTCACATCAGGGTCCAGTGAACCATGGAAGCCAAATCCTGCCCGCCACCTGTTTTTGCACATACAGTTTTGCTGGATTGCAGCTAGGTCCACTCATTTACATATCACCCATGGCTGCTTTCACGGTACAGAGGCAGAGTTGCATCATAGCAGCAGAGACTGTATGGTCTGCAAAGACTAAAATATTTCCTGTCTGGCCTTTGACAGATAATGTTTGCTTTATCTACAAAAAGAGGACAAATCAAATCCACATATCCCCATACACATTCTGTAAATCTCTATGGATAGGAACGCTCTGTAACTTATCATTGAAACTGGGGCATATTATGAAATGGGTGTTCTTAATAATTGCACCCAAACAGGAATAAGCCAGGGCTTCCCCAGCAAAGCAGGATAAAGAGCCACCTCTCTCCAGAACACTCTCTCTATGGTAAGGTGGTCACAGGACAAAAGAGGTCCAAGGTCAAACGCAGAGGGAGACAGCAAATTAAACAGCAATAAATGGGGTCCTTTCCGGTAACTCAGAACCAACCACCCTTTGGATAAGCACACGTCTCCTAGGAAGGAATATATCAGGTGGCTTTTCCAGAATGCTGTGACCTGATCCCATCAGCCTTCACCATAGAGCATCTCAGAGCAAATGCTGCACAGCACACCCTCTCCAAGGCGGGCGGTGGGGACTCCCCCCCAGATGTATGGGCCAGGTTGTCTCCCCTCGTTCATGCAGTTGTGCAGGCAGAGAATGCAAGGCAATCCTGACACCCAAAAAGCTCTGGAGACAAAGTACTTCACCTTCACCTTGGTGTTCCATAAAGCAATTTGGTGGTAAAACCTGACCTGACCTGAGCTGGCCTGATACTACTCACAGCCTTTCTTTATCACATTCTTTGCGAATATGTGTAAGTTTTGCTGAAGGAATATTCTTATCTTTGGTTATGGGGCGCTGCTTGAGACCCTACTAGGGGTGTGATAAAATATTCAGGACGTGTCTATATATTACCTGTTAAATTCCAAATATTTGGAGTTCTGAAACATATCTGATACCACGGGTTTCAGATAAAGGTTTATGTTAAATATACTGCACAAAGAGAAAGACATACAGAAATAATGAGGCCAAAGGTATTTGATTCGTCTCAAAACATGGAGGATAAAACACATCACATCATTAGTGACACACATACTAAAAAAAAAAAAAAAAAATTCTCATATATGGATTCACAGCCTACCCCAAAAGATCGGAAGCATACTTTTAAATTGTCATATCTTAGCATAGGGTATCCAGAAAAATATAGGGGGGCTTTCAGTTTTGAAATTAAAAAATCAAAGGACTCTTCTCTTAGGGACTTTTATTAATAGGCTGTTGCTGTTCTACAGAAAGGAGTGGGGGTGTAATCTGATATAAAATGAGAAACGACCAGACTGACCCCACAAGGCCCGCCTCTGTCCATGCATTCCTGGTACCTGATACTTGCCTGGCATGCACAGAATAAATGGTGGATAAATGGAGGAGCAGACTGAGTGAGTGGCTGAGCGATGGTTTGTGAAAGGCTTTACAAACCACACGACTGTCCTCATCAAACTTTAGATGAGCTCTTCCAAGGATCCACTTTCTCTTTTTCTCTTCCCTTCTTTTTCTCACTTCTTCTCTTTTTTTTTTTCTACCCTTTTCCTAACTTTCTTTACTTTCTGCATCTGCTTTGTGGCCAGCCCAAAGATAGGCAAAGGACTGGAAGATGAAAGAGAACCAAAGGAAATGACGTCACAAGCAGGATGAGTCAGGGGTGTCCAACCTGAGGTCCATGGGCCACACACTCTTTATTTAAGACCTGTTTTCCTTATCTGCTGTGTTGGAGATTGAAAAAATTTTACACAGACCTTATATTTGCTCATCAGTTCTCATTAGTGTTTTTGTATTTAATGTGTGGCCCAAGACAACTCTTTTTCTTCCAAAGTATGGCAAGAAAACAAAGGTTGGACACCCCTGACAGGTCCTTCTCTGAGCCCACGCTGTTGGCAGTTCTCCAGGGTTTGGGGAGTAATATGTGTTGGTTGACAGTCTCTGCCTCAAATCTGCTGGTCTTACTATTCACTCCCATATGTCTCTTAACAAAGGACTCCGAAATGTAAACCTTAAGAAAACCTTCAGGTCCAGATCCAGAGGCAGCTGCCGGATTCCCCAGCAACGCAGCAAGCATCTCAGCAGAACGAGCACTCCACGAAGGCCAGGCCCTTCTGAGTGCCTAGCTTTGGAGTTACAGCCTTCATCTCCCCATCCACAAGTTCCAGGCACAGCCGAGCCTTTCAAGGGCTCTCCCAGAGTTAGCTGTGGGCCCAAGTGGAATGAGTTTCAATCTGTAGTGATCCAACAGCCACCAGCTATTGAAATGAGACTAGTGAGACTGGGAAGCTGAAATTCTCCTTTATTTCATTTTAATCCCTTTCACTTCAAATTTAGAAACTGATAATTCAGTTATCGGAAAACTTATTTCAAACAAGTTGTGTATGTGAATCCACTCCTTCAGCTGTATGTTTCACAAAGTCTAAATACAGACTAGTATTTCTAATTAAAGTACACTGGATTGTGGGGACTTGAAAGAATGGAAAGTGTCTCACAAATAATTGTTTAGACTGATTACATGTTGAAGGGAAAATATTTTGGATATACCACACTTGGGGTTAAGTATGTTGTCAAAATTAATTTCACTGATTTCTTTTTCCTTTTTTAATATGGCTACTAGAAATGTGTAAATTACACATGTGGCCCCCTTTATACCTCTTTTCACTCTGTCGCCCTGGGTAGAGGGCTGTGGTGTCAGCTTAGCTCACAGCAACCTCAAACTCGTGGACTCAAGTGATCCTCTTGCCTCAGTCTTTTTCTGTTTTTCTTTTTTTTTTCTATTTTTTTAGTAGCGATGAGATCTCACTCTTGCTCAGGCTGGTCTTGAACTCCTGAGCTGGAGCAATCCACCCACTGGGGTTTCCCAGAGTGCTAGGATTACAGGAGTGAGCCACCACTCTCAGCCTCCCATTATATATCTGCTGTACTGTACTAGGTTATGCTGTGAAATTCAACACAATGGGTGTAAAACAAGGCTGTCCATCCATGTGAGGCTGGGCTACTTACCCCTGCCTGAGTTTCACCATCTATAAAATGCATATAATGGCACCTGCCTCAAAGGATTACTTGGAGGATTAAACAAGTTAATATATGTAAAGTATTTTGTGCTATGTCTGGAGCATAATAAAGACTCAAGAAATGGGAGCTCTCATCGTCACCACCATCTACCATCACTACCATGACCATTATCATCATCCTCTCTCCCCTATTTCTAAAAGAAACTTCAGAGAATCTCTATCAAAAGACAATAAAATTACTCTAAAAAAAAAAAAAACACAAGCCACTGAGGATAAAAGGAAATATTTATGGCAAAAATGCAGGCTAAGGCTTGAAGGTAATTGAGTATTAAATTCTGATTTATAGTTGCCAAGGCAAAGAGGGAAATAAAGCTTGAACTGTTTCATTAAGGTAAACCCAACAAGGGGTCTCGTGGATACATGTATTCCAACCACGAAAATGTGAAAAAGTCGTATCACACATGTTGAACTAGAAGGGATCTAAGAAGCCCCCAGCCACTAATCTCGCCACCCTCTGCTCCATATTCTGCTTCAGATACCAGAGAAATTTCTCCAAAATACAAGTCTGGCTACATAACTTTCTTGTGTAAACCCTTCAAGTAGTACAAATGGGGATTAACCACAGATGGATACTGGATTATTGGGATGATAAGTGCTCTAAACCTGGTGTATGCTGCTAGTGGCACAACTCAGCAGGTGTTCTGAAAATCATCAGATTGAACGCTTGAAATAGGTGGATACTATGACGTGTAAATTTTACCTTCATAATTATCGTTGTTAAAACAAATAAGGAAAAAATGTCAACAGTCCCAGGTCAAAGCATGCTCCGCGGACCAGTGCCAGAGAAGGAAGAGAGGGGTTTAGGGACAAGTGCAGCAATTTGGCATTGCCATGACATTTTTTATTGTGGTTTATAAGAGTTTTGCTTGACATTGAGCTGAGGTGTAGGGAGGGGGAACTTTCACCACAAGTAGTCTGAGCAGCACTGCTCTTGACTAAGGCATAAATTCTACCTGCTTATCCTGACATTCAATCTGCCTATGACCTACCTAACAGCCCCTGCAGGCTTATCTCCCTGTATATCTCCATTGCAGGGAACCCATAAACAACACTGGAGTTCCCAAACTCTGCCATAATCTGCCCCTCACTCCTCCAGCCCGTGGTACACAGCCCCTGACAACCCAAATGCCTTTTGCTATCTTTTCTAGTACATTTGCATTCATCCTTCCAGACGTAATCTAGCTATCATCTCCTCTTAGAAGCCATTCTAATTTCCTTCCCCACCAAGCATCCCATTACCCAGAAGTGATCTTCGACTAGTTATCTCATCTCTCTGAACCTTGATCTTTTCAACTGTAAAATAGGAAAAGTCAAAGCGCTTCTCTCATCAGACACTGGGTTTTATACAAAGAAATCAATATCTTTGTTTCTCCAGATCCTGGGGAACTACAATCCTCCTGCTCCGTTGTAACTGTTTATTTACATATGAGCCTCCTCCAGCAGACAGTGACCTCCAAGGACATGGGGGCTGTGTGGGATCATCTCCGCACTCACAGAGCCTGGCTGGGTGAAGCCCAGTAGACAACAGTTGAATGAGGTAGTGAATGAATGAAGTCCTTTCTAGACCTAGTAACTGTAGAGAGGACAAGAGGTGTAGAGATTTATTATTAATTTTTAAAACCCAAACCATAGCAAAATATCATACCTGATAGAAATGTGGCCAGAAGGTGCTGATGGCGAGCTCTGCCTTCACCCATCCCTCGGTGACGACCCCAGACACATTCCAGACAGGGTTCCCTTGGGGACCTCCATTCACCTTCACATAGACGTTCAAGGCCCCCGGGCTGGACCTGTCGCGGCTGGAGAAGTAGTAATGGAAATCGATGCAGTGGGTGTCATTCTCCTTCAAGGTGGGCAAGAGAAGGTGGGCCTTCTGGCCAGAGGCCCTCCCAGAGCTGTTCACCATCATGAAGGATCCTGAAGACCCAGAAAGGGAAGGGGAAATAGACACAAGAGAGAAATAAAATCAGTCACATCCATAAACATGATGGTCACACGAGAGGGGCCAGAGATCAAAGCATTCTAGGAGGGGCTGCTTGACCCTGAGGAAGGCACATCTCCCCTCTGAGTATTCTCTTCTGTAACTGGAAATTAAAAAACCCTACTCAACAAGGTGGTTTCAAGAATCAAGAGAGGGTAACACGTATGAAGTATTTTTACAAGGTAAACAGTCTATAAACATCTGGAGAACAAACATTATATCCAAAAGCTCCTGAAGGAAGCAGGGAACAAAATCCCAGGAATTTAGTTTCCTGCAACCTCAGCAGGTGAAATGAGATGAAAGAGAAGCTCATGTGACATAGAACCTCTGCAATACAGGAGATGCCACTGTCCTAACCTATTCCCCCCTGGAGTCTTGCATTGGCTATAGGGAACTACTTTTTTTTTTTTTTTAAAGTAAATCTATATCAGGTTAATGTGAAGGTATAAACAACCAGGTCAAGATATTTGCTTTTGTTAAGTAGAGTCCTTCTTGTGGTTATGTCCCACACATAAAAGGTGTGCCGACCCCCCCAATCTGTGCCCATTCAGTGAGAGCACCCCCAAACCCCTCCCCCCCAAATTTCAATTGAAATGAGTTTTGCTCCAATGTGACCATGCATTAGATCATCTAATGGCTTCATATTAGTATTGAGTACACTGGAAAATTGCTTTTCCATCCTCATGATATTTTAATAAGAAGAATGTGTTTTAAATCCATCCAGGATTTAACAAAAGACATGAAGTCACCATCTTTTTATGGCTGAATAGTATTCCATGGTATGCATATACCACAAGCCCTTAATCCCTTCTTGGGTTGGTGGCCATTTAGGTTCTTTCCCTGTCTTGGCAATTGTAAACTGCCCACTGATATATGGGACTGTTAGCTCTTTTTTTGTTGATTAATTTGGGTTCTTTGTAGATCCCAGTTATCAAGCCTTTGTGCGATTCATAATATGCAAATATCTTTTCCCATTCTGAAGGCTGTCTATTTGCTTTAGTGGTCTCCTTAGCTGTACAGAAATTTTTCAGTTTAATTATGTCCCATTTATTTATTTTTTATTGTTGTTGCAATTGCCACAGAAGTCTTCCTCGCCTTCTCTAAGACAGAAGAATGCTAACAATCATATGAAAAAAAAAATGCTCATCGTTCCTAATCATCAGAGAAATAAAAATCAAAACCACTCTGAGATGTCACCTCACCCCAGTAAGATCAGCCCACATCACAAAGCTGCAGGTGCTGGGGAAGATGTGGAGAGAAGGGAACACTTCCACACTGTTGGTAGGACGGCAAACTAATACAGCCTCTTTGGAAAGAAGTCTGGGGAATCCTCAAAGATCTCAAATGAGACCTCCCATTGGACCCTAATATCCTACTACTGGGCACCTACCCAGGAGAAAAAATGATTATTTTACCATAAGGACATTTGCTGTAGACTGTTTATCACAGGGAACTACGTATCAAAGGAGAACATATAAAAGCAGCGTATAGTCGGTGAGAAGGAAGACCCTGCAGAAGTGTAAGAACCATCTGGAAGGTGTTCGGGTAGAGGGGAAGATAAGCAGTGCTTGCTGAGCACCTGCACAGTGCCGGGTTGATGTTGGGCATCATATTTATACACTGTCCAATTTGATCTCCACATTGACCCTGGAAGATAGAGGATTCCCATTTTACTTAAAGATCGAGTGACTTGACCACAGCCACTTGGACAGAGAAGGGAAGACCTAGATGCTCTCCAACTTCGTTGCTGTCACTACTATTTGCAGAAAACACAGCTACTATTTCCAAGCACTAACAACAACCTGCCTCATACACAGGAAGTAAGCCTCTTTTGAGTTGCTTTGACAGTAAATGCTCATTCCCTGTTTATTATCTTTCCCTGGATCCATGTCCTTTGTCATTGGCTTTGCAGTTCCTCCCAGTAGAAGCAGAGGGCATGTCCTCATCCCCTGACTTTGGGCTCCGTCATATGAGTCGCTTTGGTCAACAGGGTGTTGACCCAATGATTCAAGCCAAGGTTAAAATGCTCTTGCCTAGCTGGGCTTGCCCCATTGCACTGTTGCTACCTTTCAAAAGAAGAATGTGCTCTGGGTAGCTGCTGCCCTTTACAGCTCAGGATCAAAAATAAACACATATAGAAGAGACCTGACCTTATGGAGAAGGACTAGGTCCTGCCACCCCCTACTCCTGGAAGTTCAACCACACGACCAACAAGCCCAACTTAGATCAGCCAATCCACAATTAGTGCACAGCTCCATAAGCACAGGAATAAATGCTTGTAGTTGTTTGCCCCTGAGTTTCATCCTGTTTTCTTATGCCGCATTATTGTGGCAATAGCTAATTGACACAGTGCCCCATGAAAGAAAATGTGAGGAGGTACGGTTCAGTTCAGTGTGCAAAGGACTTTTTAACAGAGAAAGCTGGTGCAAAACGGGACAGACTGCCTAGAGGCTACATGAGCTCCCCATCACTGCAGATGGCTAACTAGAACCTGGGTAAATTGAAGAGATGTCTAAGGAAATTTCACAATCAAGTAGGAGGGCAGAACTCTGCGGCTTAGGGTCCTGGGAGTCTATAAAATAAACCATGTCGTAAAACACGGTGGATACACTTGGGTGATTCTGGATGAATATTTCCACCTAGAAAACCACTGTTGTTTTGAAATCTTACTTTAACCACTAAAATCTTCAATTCAGGATAAAACCTTAAGACTACTTATCCTCAGCCAAGATGAGCCACTTCAACAGCTATAAGTCGCCTCGGCCCTTCACCCTCACACCACAAAGAATAACAGCTTCCAGTTAATAAGTGCCGGGCAATCCCTATCTTGCTGGGGTCCTACAGAGTGCTAATGAAACTCTGTCTCCTCCTGGCTTCTGAATGAATTCAAAAACAGACACAGGAGCTGGAGTTCAAAACCTCCACTGTATTGCTCACCAAGTGCCTTGGACTTGAGGCCAAATTAGACTTTCTGCATTTTTGCCCCTAAATGAACATGCAGGAGGCTGGTTGACAGTAGACCCCTCCTCTAATGCTGCTCAGACGTGTAAGGTAAGAGCTGTCCTAATGGGAGGACTCCTTAGGACAGCTGGGCAAACTCATACCAAAAAAGAGCCAGCCAGGAGCAAAGTGACAGGCACAGAGAAACCTGAAGTCACAGCTGTCGGGTTTTCACCGTACTACCAGTCAGAAAACCCTCCCACTCCTCAGGTAGGGGCCGCTGAAAGTGCAGCAAAGATGGTATTTTCACTAGTGCTTCCAAGGGAGTAAAGTTTCCTAGTTGATGGCCTGGAAGGAACATACGGTGAGTGGAGAGACATCTCCATGTCAGAGATGTCATCTAACTATCCAGGGAAGCAGCCAGGAGGGAACCATCATAGAGGAGAAATTCAGGCTCAGAGGTGCAACTGAGCCTGCATCCATGCCCACATCTGGCCTGCATCACATGGGGTTCCAGAAGGTCTCCCTGGACAGATGAGCAATGGCCCATTAGTCCCACAATGGGAGGGCCACAACTCCTCCAGGCACATTTCAACTCCTGCCCTCCTACCAATGCACACCCAGTGCACGAGCCTCTTACGATCTCAGCCAAGAGAGCTGGGAAGGTTTTCCTTCCCTAGCTCGTGTTCTTGTTCCTTTTCATCCCAGCTTCAGCTGCAGGGCAGGCTTACTGAGGAGGTGGAATTTCCCTTGTTCCAAGGGCTTTTGTGACAACCATGAAACAACGCTCTGGACACACTGGACTATATCCCTTAGCCTCCCTTTAGTATTTGCAGGGGCCACGCAACTACTTCTAGCCAATGGAGTGTGAGTACAACGTGCCACCTCCAGACCCATCTACGGTTCCTTTCAGCCTCCTCCTTCTCACCCCCTCATCTCCATTCTACGTCATCTTGTCCCTGGAAGGAAGGTCCTCAGACCAGAAACCTCGGCATCAACTGGGAGCTTGTCAGAAATGAGACTCCCAGACCCACTCCAGGCCTCCTGACTATGGATCTGCATGCTATCAAGATCTCCATGTACATTAAGGCCTGAGACTCACTGGTCCATTCTTTCTATTCCCATCTACCAGCTGACTGTTCAGGATTTCAAGAGCCCAGGAAAGAGCAAAGCCACAGTAAAGGCAGTCCAGTTCCCTGAATGATCATGACTACAGGAAGGTCATGGTCTTTCTGCTAGGAACACGAATTTTAGATTCTATGTAAAGAAGGAATATGTTATTATTATGCTATTAAGCCATTGAAATTTTGAAATTTTGAAGTTAACTATTTCTATTTGTGTGTGTGCACATGTACTTATGTGTGTATGCGCATGTGTATGTATGTGTGTATGCACAGGTCTGCGTGTGTGCACATATGCTTATGTGTGCATGCAAATACACATATGTGCTAGCCTTATTATTCTAGTACCCTAGTAGAATCTGTATTTCCTACAAGTCCCTTTATTCAAAGGGATAAGATGTGAGACCAGGCTCATGGTTCAAGCCTGTAATCCTAGTACTCTGAGAGGCCAAGCGGGGTGGAATGCTTGAGTTCAGGAATTCGAGATCAGCCTGAACAAGACCTGAGACCCTGTCTCTACTAAAAATAGAAACAATTAGCCAGGTATGTGTGTGGGGGGGGGGGGCGTATAGACCCAGCTACTAGGGAGGCTGAGGCAAGAAGATCTCTTGAGCTCAGAAGTTTGAGGTTTTGAACTATGATGCCATAGGCACTCTACCCAGGGTGACAGAGTGAGACTCTGCCTCCAGAAAAAGATTGACATGCTGGCTACTAAGCAAAGCTGCCATACATTGCACATTGGACCATCCTTAAAGAGCATCACCCTGGGTGACAACTCAGGAGGCGTCACACGCAAAGGCATAGAAGCGTCCTGCAGGCGAACATGGTGCCTTAGCGGAGGTGGGGCCCAACCATCTCTGTGCCTTGCCCCATCT